TTTTTTTTTGTACTTTTCAAAGTTGACTTGGGGGTTCCTACCTGCCTACCTTCTTTCCCCGAATTCTCCCCGTTAAGGAAACCTGAAGTCTGGCGTGCAATTAGAGAGAGAGAGCAGCAGCAGCCAGAAGAAAGAACATTTGCCAGTGGAACAAATCAAAGGATGAGCCCAAGAGTTCCTTGAAAGACATATGCAGCCAGGCTCTTTTTTATCTAGAGAAAATACAGGATAGAACTGCGATAAAGAAAAAGGGGGGGAGGAGAGAAGGGGGGCAAAATGGTGAAGAAGAAGAAGGCTGGAAGGGGAAGATGACTTTGATGTCCGAGAGCCTGGTTATCAGTGGGAGGCACTTACATAAACACATGGCTATTATTGCTAATTGAAAAACCAAGGCAAATGACTCGTCCCGGCAAGAATGCCATCTGCTAAGTTTCTAAAGTTGCAGGGCTGGTGCATGTTTGCTAATCATTTGTCAGGGGCTGGTGGTGGAATGGAGGTCAGGGATTCATTCTCCCCCCCCAGTTGTAAAAAGCCAGGGGAGTCGAGATCCTGCCAGCCCCCCACTAGTCAGTAAATCACTCCTTCTGGTCCGGGCTGTTTGACCGATTGAAGACTCCAGATCGCTCTGCTTTTCACTTCGCCAGACAGTGTGGGCCTGCCCTTGCTGATGCTTCAGCCCAAGATGGCAACAGGGAGTATGTCAGTGCAGATTTCTCAGCTTGGTGGCTTTTGAATGAAAAATGCCAGAACATGGGGGGGGGGGCATCTTTATAAAAATGTAGGCAGCGGTTCTATACATACATATCTGGAGCGTGCAGGATTTCCTTTCTATTTGTTGTTGTTAGTTGCGAAGTCGTGTCCAACCCATCGCGACCCCATGGACAATGTTCCTCCAGGCCTTCCTGTCCTCTACCATCTTCTGGAGTCCACTTAAGCTCACACCTACTGCTTCAGTGACTCCATCCAGCCACCTCATTCTCTGTCGTCCCCTTCTTCTATTGCCCTCAATCTTTCCCAGCATCAGGCTCTTCTCCAGTGAGTCCTTCCTTCTCATTAGGTGGCCAAAGTCCTTGAGTTTCAACTTCAGGATCTGGCCTTCTAAAGAGCAGTCAGGGTTGATCTCCTCTAGGACTGACCGGTTTGATCGCCTTGTACTATAAACCAGGTGTCCCCAACCCTCGGTCCGTGGACCGGTACCGGGCCGCAGCATGCCAGCAACCGGTCCACACAAACAAGCAAAGCCCCATCCGCGGGATGCAAGCAGCACAGAAAACCACGCCCCATCCAGTCCGCGGAAAAACCTTTCTCCACGGAAGCGGTCCCTGGTGCCCAAAAGGTTGGGGGCCTCTGCTATAATCAGTAGATTGGCAAAAGATGCTAAATATTTCTGTTGCTAAGCGAGACACTCGTTAAGCGAGTTTTTATGCCCCGCTGTACGACCTTCCTTGCCCGAGTTGTTAAATGAATCACTGCAGTTGTTAAATTAGCAACAACGGTCATAAGTCACTTTTTTCAGCGCCCTTGTAACTTCAAGCAGTCACTAAANTGCTCTATTTTGCAGATAGAAAAACAGGCCTTGTTTTCATGGCCCAGCTGTGGCTGCTCTCTTCACCTTTGGGGACCACACCTTGCAAGCACACCTGCCTTCCCACCTCTTTATTTTCCAAGGGGGCACCCCAGAGAGAGAATAGGAGCGTGAGGCTGCGTCTTGTAAACTAGCATTAAATATTGTATAAAATAATAAACGAGATAGCCACGGAGCATGGAAGATTGCCAAGGGTTGCTAACCACATGGGTATCTACTGGTTGCATACTGGCATTCTGGATTCACAATCCTTCCAGAGTGTGACAGAAAAATGCACACTCAGTTACTGCAGACTCTTGCTATGTCCTCTGTATAATTTAAGGGCTGTGCGAGAGGAGTAGAATAGACCTTAGTTTGTTGCAATTCTGAAACAACTAAATGTCAGAAAAGGATGATGATCTGTTATGAAATATACAGGTCTTCTGTCTTGAATAGGGGGTTGGATTCACTTAACAACTGTAGTGATTCACTTAACTGAGAAGCGTAAAATGGGACAAAACGCATTTAACAAATGTCTCGCTTAGTCACAGAAATTTTGGGCCCAGCTGTGGTTGTTAAGCCGAGAACTAGCTGTATTTTATCTGAAAGCTGATTGAATGGCTCATTTCAGTAAACAAAAGACTGGCAGGTTTTTAAACCTGTTAATGCAATTCACCACCCAGAGTCCAATTAGATCCATCTCAAAAAGTCTTTGGAGCAAATTATCTCAGTTAAAAAGCAAACAAATATAGACTTTCAGGACTGTCATGTTTCGGGTCGGTTTAATTTTTTTTTTTTTTTACCTCAGCAGCTGCTGTTTCGATAAAATTAAAAATATGACCATGTAGGTAAAGAGTTTTGGATAAACTAAATGCTTAGTTATGTTTGTTGTAGAACCTTAAGATTTGAAGTGTGAAGACTTTAGCAGATTATGGGAGTTGTGGAACATGGACGTTTGTCTTCTGCCAAGCTTAAATTCTGCATGGGGTTTGTCTTCTTTCTTTCAAGATTAATCTCAGCTTTGTGTGCCGAGGTTTAGTTACTTTTTTTTGAGCCCTGAAAATGGTTTCATCCTAAGCTAGGTCAAATCAAGGGTGGTGTTTATTTTTTATCTATTTTATCTATTTTTACAAGAAGTCCCTGTATCTCAAAGTTAAGGTTTTCATTACTAACAAAAGACATCTGGGGAAGAAGGATCACCAAATGGTGTTGATTTTGAGAGAGAAGCTAATCTCAGAATCCCCCCCCCCTTTTAATCTTTTCCTACTTGGTGCTAGGGATGAAGAAGTACGTGTCTAAAGCTGCATATAGTTCCTCTTTCATTTGAGGAATTTGTAAGACCTTTGCATCATACCATTCATGATGTTGGCTTAATGGTCACAGTATCCTCAGCAGAAATATGTTGTTTGATTCAATATGCAGAGTTTTCGACAACTTGAAGAGTATTTGCAGTAGTAATCGTTTTGTGTGCGATAAATTGATGTGGCATTCTGAAACATGGGGTCCTTATGCAGCTAAGGCAGGGGGTAGGCAACCTTGGCTCTTTTATGACTCGTGGACTTCAACTCCCAGAATTCCTGAGCCAGCCATGCTGAGGGGAAAGGTTTCCATGCTTAGCCATGCTGGCTCAGGAATTCTGGGAGTTGAAGTCGACGAGTCATAAAAGAGCCAAGGTTGCCTACCCCTGAGCTAAGGCAATATCCAGCATGTTGTTGTTCAGTTGCTAAGTTGTGTCTAAATCGTTGGGATCCCATGGGCCATACATAGCATGCCAGCCCCCTGCTCCCCACTGTATCCTGGAGTTTGCCCAGATACACGTCGTCCTTGACCTACGGCCACAATCGAGCCCAAACTTTATGATGCTAAGTGAGAAAGTGAGTTTTGCCCCGTTTTATGACTTTCCTTGCTGCATTTGTTAAGGGAATCACTGCGGTTGTTAAATGAGTAACACCACTGTGAAGTGAATCTAGTTTCTCCCATTGACTTTGCTTGTCAGAAGGTCGTAAAAGGGGATCACGTGACCCGGGCGACGCTGCAACCGTCATAAATATGAGTCAGTTGCTAAAGGTCTGAATTTTGAGCACGTGACCGCGGGGATCTGCAATGGTTATAAGTGTGGAAAAGGGTCCCTTTTTCAGTGCCGTTGTAACATTGAACGGTCACTAAATGAACTGTGGTAAGCCGAGGACTACCTGTACTATTTATTTATTACTTATTCATTTTTTTGTGTCTATTCATCTCACCGTTACAGCGATTCTGGGCGGCTTACCATGTTTGGGCCTTCAGGTTAGCCTTGACTCCTGGTGATGGCTAGGGAAAGTCAGTTTTCTTCTGGAAGGATCTTGGAAGTGGTTTGCCATTGCTTTCTTCCTGGGCTGAAGGAGAGTGGCTGGCCCAAGGTCACCCACCTGCCTCTGGTGCCTTAACTACCGCACCAAACTGGTTCTTGGGATACGTATTTACCAATCTGAATCTAAAGAGGAATAGGTCAGCGTTGACAGTAGTAGTTGCCCTTTTGGCAGCTGGGAAGAATTAAGATTGTCAATACAGGTGGCCCTCAACTGACAACAGTTCATTTACTGACAGTTCAAATTTGCAACGACCATTTTTCACACTTACGACCGTTGTAGCCTCCCCATGGTCACGTGATCAAAATTCGGATGCTCGGCAACTGACTCATATTCATGACGGTTGCGGTGTCCCGGTCTTGTGGAAAACGAAAGAACTCTTACAAATTCCAGAGGGGTTTAGCAGAGAAGTTTATTGCGCAAGGTTCAGAGGCATATTAGAGATAGGCAATTCTGAACAAGGAGGGCGGGATTAGACTTCAGTTTTTATACTTCCCTTCTTTCAGGAACAAAGGGACTACACATGATAATACGCTGTAATACATTTGGTTCGTTTCTCACGGGCATACAATGGAAGGTTTTGCTACATACAAAGTATCCATGTGCAAGGCGCATTTGGTTAGCCACATATTACTGACACAGAACTTTCCCAGTGAATTTTCCCAGTGATTATGCATTACATCATTATTCTAGCAATTATGCAGACACATCATTATTCTAGCAATTATGCAGACAAATCATTATTCTAATAATTGTTCATTTTACTACATTACCGGGGGTCATGGGGTCAACTTTCAGGACCTTCTGAGAAGCGAAGTCAGAATGGGGAAGCCAGATTCACTTAACAACCGTGCTACTCGTTTAGCAACTGCAGGGACTGACTTTAACAACTGTGGCAAGAAAGGCCGTAAAATGGGGCAAAATTCACTTAAGAATTGTCTGACTGAGTAACAGGAATGTTGGGCTCAATCGGGTTCGTACGTTGAGGGTTTCCTGTACATAATTTGAGCCTGCATTGCAGATGTATCCTATCTGTTTTCAATATAATCATTATTCTTTCATTTTATGTTCTGTTTTCAGTTGACCTTTACTATGGGTCCTTCCCGAAAAGAATTCTTGGTCTTGGGCTATCTCCTTGCAGGTAAGATTTACCTTCAGTGGGATATTTTTGCCAAGTCCATCAACAACCTAGAACTAAGGAGAAACTTCCTGACAGTGAGAACAATTAACCAGTGGAACAACCTGCCTCCAGATGTTGTGGGTGCTCCAACACTGGAAGTTTTTAAGAAGAGATTGGACAGCCATTTGTCTGAAATGGTATAGGGTTTCCTGCCTGAGCAGAGGGTTGGACTTGATGACCTCCAAGGTCCCTTCCAACTTTATTATTATTATTATTATTATTATTATTATTATTATTATTATTATTATTATTATTATTTGTCAGAGAGTCTCTTTGGTTAAATCTATCCTGCTTAAGACTGGAAGAAGAAGCCTGATATTTTAGATCCCATTTGCAATCCCTTCCAGTCGATGGGGAATTGTCAGAGCTGCCCCCCATTCCAGGTTTTTAGTCGGTGCCTTGAGCAAACATTCAATTCGTTTTACTCTCATTTTCATTCACCAGTGATTCTGGTCCCAGAAACAGCGTCAGAAATGTATTTATCTACTGGCATTGCTTGAAAAAAAACCTGCTTTGATTTCTCCCATCATGCATCATTTCTCTTCCCAGAAGAGAGATCATGAGTGCAAATCTTCAAGAATGCTTAGCATGTCATACTCAGACTCAAAGACAACAAAATCTGAATTTCATACATTTTCTTGGCCAGAGCTGGAAAAACTCCACCAGGATTTTTAGAGAAAGGTGAAGTTAATAGCTGAGTTTGGCCCGGGGTAAAATATGTACTGATTTCTTTGGCAGGCACTCAATTTGCGGACAGTACATACTAACTTCCTTGGGTTTTGAGGAGAATCTGATCATCTTTTGAGTAAGAAATATGCTACTGCCAGGTCCAGTTTTGAAACTTGCAGCGTAGGAAGGTGGACATTGTGCAAAAAAACCCATTATTTTGGAAACAAATGAGATTATTTGGGCTTGACTTATACAAAACGCTTAAGCAACAATATGATAAAAGCAAAGTTTAAACCAGGGGTAGTCAACCTTGGCTCTTTTATGACTTGTGGATTTCAACTCCCAGAATTCCTGAGGTCAGGAATTCTGGGAGTTGAAGTCCACAAGTCATAAAAGAGCCAAGGTTGACTACCCCTGGTTTAAATGAACAGGAAAGCCAAGCTTTGCAAAAATGTATAAATTGGTCCGAAGCAAATGCTTTTACTGTTTTGCTTGTGAATGCTTCAGAACTACTTGACAGCACAATGAAGGTTGTTCTCGACTTACCACAGTTTGTTTCGTGACCGTTTGAAGTTACACCGTGCTTTTCTCTTCGTAGGGTCATGCATCATCTCCTGCCAGAGTTTGCTTCCCGCCATTCTCCCAAGTGAAGAGCAAATGGTGGTGCAGCTGGATGCCCCCTTCACTTTGAAATGTTCTGGAGACAGCGAAGTGAGCTGGCAGCATCCAGCCCCAGAGGGCAACCACTCCATCACCATCAGTAATGAAGAGAACAACAGCGGCCTTTTCGTGACCGTCCTCGAAGTGGCGAACGCATCGGCTTCCCTCACCGGATTATACATTTGTTATTATAATCATTCTCAAGAGGAAGATGGAGAAGTCGAAGGGAAAGAGATCTACATTTTTGTGCCAGGTGAGTTGACTTAGTTCAAGTCACCGGGAAGGCTTTGGGATAGAGAGGCAAGTAGCTTCCACTGGATCCCTTTGAGTTAGATCAGGGGTGTCAAACTCAATTTCATTGAGGGCCGCATCAGCATTGCGGTTGCCCTCAGGGGGCTGGGTGGGTGTGGCCAGGGTGGGTGTGGCCTCCTGGGTGGGTGTGGATGGAGTGGGTGTGGCCTCCTGGGTGGGCATGGCCAGCTCTACATCGTTCCCGTCAAGGGTGCCTGTGGGGGCCTGGACAGGAGTGGGACAGATCTCAGGGTCTCTGGCAGAAGGGGGTGGGACCGGGGCAAGCGCCAAGGCATGGTCCATTTCTTCATTCCTCACAAAGGGTGACCCCTCCCCAGCATGCACCCAGGGGGCGAGGCCAACGCAGCAGGGGCTGGTTCCTTGCTGTTTCTGGATGGCCTTGTGAAGCTAAGACTGAATGCATTTCAGCATAGATGGCCACCACAAAATTGTACATTGGCTCCCGGCCGGCCTGGGCCAGGGTCAAGGCAGCGGGGGCCGTTCCCTCACTGTTTCCAGGATGGCTTCGTGGGCCACATGAAACCACTTCGCGGGCCGCATCTGGCCCCCGGGCCTTGTGTTTGACATGTCTGAGTTAGAGCAACTGGATTCTCAATGGTTCTCAATCTTTTCTTCACCACGGACCCCCTTTAAATAGCACTTAGCGATAGCACTTATATACCGCTTCACAGTGCTTTACAGCCCTCTCTAAGCAGTTTTACAGAGTCAGCCTATTGCCCCCAGCAATCTGGGTCCTCATTTTACCGACCTCAGAAGGATGGAAGGCTGAGTCAACCTTGAGCCGGTCAGGATCGAACTGCCAAACTGCTGGTAGCCGCAGATAGCAGAACTAGCCTGCAGTACTGCATTCTAACCACTGTACCACGTGGCTGGCTGAGGAATTCTGGGAGTTGAAGTCCACAAGTCTTAAAGTTGCCAAGGTTGAAGATCCCTACTTTCTAACCCTATTGATGCATCAGAGTGTCTCTTTCTCAACAGATCCAGCTGTTCCCTTTGTTCCAACCTCCCCAGAAGATTTGTTCATTGTTGCCACTGAGGAGGACAATTCTTCCATTATCCCATGTCGCACGACTGACCCTAACACTCAAGTCACTCTAATGAACAGAGAAGGAAAAATTCTGTATGCCTCTTACGACAACAGGCTGGGCTTCATTGGAAACTTCTCTTTGGGGTCCTATATATGCAAGACCACTGTCAGAGCCATCGAATTCGAGTCTGGCGAATTTTTCATCTATATTTACAAAGGTACATCACTATATATTTTTCAGTTGACATGGATAAATGACAGGTTTTGAGTCTCCTTTGATTCTTTGCGAAAGGGTCCAATTGCCTCTAGTTAAAGACACGGTCATCTTCTAAGTACAGATTTAATTCTCACAAGGCTGCAGGAAAATAATTCCCCAAAAGACAGATGGAGAAGAGAGACCGAACGGGCTGTTATATAGGACGAGCAAAGGAAAGAGGGGCGAAAAGGTTTGAATGTTTATTTTACAGAAAGAAATATTGCAGTTATTGGAATAATCTACTTAATGGATTTCTAACTTTACTTCAATAAAATGTACTTATCGGAAGTCTGGAAGTTCTTTGAACTTGGCTAGTTGGTTCCAGTCCTGTCTATCAATTGACGGCAAACCATCTTTTGTCATGTGGCTTGTGGGACATAAATAATCCACCTCTGGCCTAATGGTAGGATTAGCTATGTGGTTAGACCAGGGGGGTCTTCAAACTTGGCAACTTTTAAGACTTGTGGACTTCAACTCCCAGAATTCCTCAGCCAGCCCCAGAAGTTGAAGTCCACAAGTCTTAAAAGTTGCCAAGTTTGAAGACCCCTGGGTTAGACCCGCAACCCACTACCAGCCCCTCTAAGACCTTGAGTGTAGCCTCCAGAATTTCCTAACCTTCACTTATGCCTGTGTGTGTGCTTCCCTCCCCATTGCTTCCCATTTGCTCTACAGATTTTCTTTCCTTTCTTCCTAATCTCCAGTTTCCATTCTTCTCAACTTCTAAATGTCTGACAAATGTGTGTCTGACAAACATTCATCATTAGATGTTGGCACAATTAGAACTCGGTGATCATTCTGACAGGTTGTACAGATGAAAATTACGTTTTATTGGAGAATTTAACATTGGGGTAAATAATTTATTCTGAACATCGTTGGGGAGGGGGAATCAATAGATTTTAAAAGTAGGAGGACAAGGATAGTTTTGTTTGTTGTGTATTAATGCATCTGTTATTTTGCCCCGAATTCATGATCCTGGGTAGTGTATAAGAATCTCAGTGACAATCTTGCCAGATAAGTCACAATATCAATAAAAGCAATTAAAACATTAGGAAAGGCTATCTTCTTTCCTCACTGTGTAGATGGCATTGTGGCTGCGTTCACACCACCCACTGGACCTGGTAACTGAATTCATCCATTTCTTATATTTGGATAATACATTGACTTATAAACTCAAACGTTCATATATGTGCCAGATCCCACTGAAGGTTAATATTAACTCCAGTATATTGAGTTTATTGTTCAAATGCAAGCCTTTAACAAACCTGATTGTACTGATATAACAATTTATGGATAAATTTAGTTGGTGCTAAACAATCCCACTTTGACAAAGGCCATCCATCACCCCTCTGCTTGTCTCGTATGCAATTAGCAACACGTTTCTTTGGAATTTCATCTGGAAAAATTTGTGTACATGTAGTTCCTTGACTTACGACCACAACTGAGCCTGACATTTCTGTTATTAAGTGAGACATTTGTTAAGTGAGTTTTGCCCCATATTATGACCTTTCTTGCCACAGTTGTTAAGTGAATCACTGCAGTTGTTAAGTTAGTAACAGAGTTGTTAAGTGAATTTGGCTTCCCCCGTTGACTTTGCTAGTCAGAAGGTTGCAAACTGTGATCACATGACCCCAGGACGCCCTAACCGTCATAAATATGAGTCAATTTTGATCATGCCATCACGGAGTTACTGCAACAGTCATAAGTGTGAAAAATGGTCATAACTCACTTTCTTCAGTGCTGTTGTAACTTTGAATGTTAATAATAATAAAGTTGGAAGGGACCTTGGAGGTCATCTAGTCCAACCCCCTGCTCAGGCAGGAAACCCTATACCATTTCAGACAAATGGCTGTCCAGTCTCTTCTTAAAAACTTCCAGTATTGGAGCATTCACCGCTTCTGGAGGCAGGTTGTTCCACTGGTTAATTGTTCTAACTGTCAGGAAGTTTCTCCTTAGTTCCAGGTTGTTTCTCTCCTAGATGAGTTTCCACCTGTTGTTTCTTGTCCTGCCTTCAGGCGCTTTGGAGAATAGCTTGACTTCCTCTTCTTTGTGGGGCAGCCCCTGAGATACTGGAACACTGCTATCATGTCCCCCCTCGTCCTTCTCTTCATTAAACTAGACATATCCAATTCCAGCAACCGTTCCTTATATGTTTTAGCCCCCAGTCCCCTAATCATCTTTGTTGCTCTTCTCTGTACCCTTTCCAGAGTCTCAACATCTTTTTTACATTGTGGTGACCAAAAACTGGATGCAGTATTCCAAGTGTGGCCTTACCAAGGCATTGTAAAGTGGTATTAATACTTCACGTGATCTTGATTTTATCCCTCTGTTAATGCAGCCTAGCACTGTGTTGGCTTTTTTGGCAGCTGCAGCACACTGCTGGCTCATATCTAAATGATTGTTCACTAAATGAACTGTTGTAAATCGAGGACTATCTGTATTCCCTCATTCAGGCAGATTGAGGATGACTCTTAAGGCACCAGGTGCTGGGAGGAGAATAATTGAGACAACAGTGTGCCCTGTTCCACATCTGCAACTAGATTCCTGCTTTTGAATCCAAAAGAGGACTCTGTTCCATCCTTATAATGATTCAAATATGTTATTTATTTTATAGAACAAATGGGATGCAGAATTCTATTTGTTCTTTTAACTCTGAAAACCCCAAATGCCCTGAATTGGCCCCATAAATGACAGTTGAAAATACTACAATTTAGTTTAACAAATTTCTTCCCACACGTCGTCAATGTTGATGTTCTCCTTAATACACAGAGAAAAATAAGGCATTCAAGGGAATGACGTTCTATGCATATTATTTCCTTAAAATGTTTAATCCTCTTCCAGCTCCATCATACCTTCATGTTGAAATTGAGTCCCCCAAGACTGTATATAAAACAGGAGAAACCATTATTGTTACTTGTGTGGTCTTGGATAATGAAGTGGTGAACCTAGAGTGGAATTATCCAGGGAAAGTGGTAAATATCCCTTTTTGTTGTTGACTAAATGGCTGGAGGATACCGTGGGTGGGGCTTTAATTCCGGATTTTTAAAAAGAAAACGTCTGGATAAAAACATTTGAAAGAAAGGCCAATTGTTAAATGGATTTGGTTGGTCAACTGTCAAGATTTAATGGTTAGCAAGCATGCAGAGCTTTGCAAAACGTTACGGGGAGATGAGTAACATATGAGTTTGACAGGAAGTGGGAGAGGAAGAATAATAACACTTCCACAAACCTGGAAAATATAATACAACAAAAATGGTTTTTGTATAGTTGCTCACATGTTACACTTGTGCTGATGAAAGAACATGATTATTTGCAAATGTCTTTAAGTCATAATCCAAAGCAGACTTCTCTAACCTTGCCTCTTCCTGAGGTTTTGGACTCTCCAACCCACAGAACTAATAACTAACTAATAACTTTATTGCCACTTTGAATGTACACCGATCGTCATATGTTAAAATGAAAATTTGTTGCATACAGCTCTCAAAGGGTCACCACCTCTGATATACACTACATAAATATGACAAAAATAAACAAACAAATAAATAAATAAATACAGAATTATGCATATACCCACATATATTACATGACACAGAGAAAGAACGCAGTCTAGTTCGGGTTATGTATACGTGTGCATGGCAAGAAAAACGAATTTTGCGAGTTTACCCAGAGGGATGGCATAGGAAACAAAGCTATTACAGAATCGGGTAGTTCTGCTATAAATACTTCAAAACCTCCTCCCAGAGGGGAGCAACAGAAACAGACCATAAAGTGAGTGTGTGGGGTCTCTAACAAGGCTTTGAGCTCTAAGCAGCTCTAAGCTGGCTTATAAGCAGCATCCTGAATAACAGGAAGCGAGCTTCCTATAATCTTCTCAGCTGTCCTTACCAGTCTCTGTATGGACCTTCTATCTGAGGCACGGCTGCCGCCAAACCAGACAGTGATGCCGTTTGTTAAGATGCTCTCAGTCGTGCCTCTGTAAAAAGTGGCCAGGACAGAAGGAGAAAGATGTGCTCTCCTCATCCGACGCAAGAAATGCAGACGCTGGTTTGCACGCTTCACTAAGGATGACGTGTGGAGAGACCAATTCAGATTGTTAGTTCTCTGCACCCCCAGATATTTAATACTGTTGACCATCTCTACAGCTGGCATCCTTGATAATGAGTGGAGTATAGTGGATTATGACAATGCTGGCTCTTTCTGAAAATCTACAATGATCTCCTTTGTTTTATCAACATTTAAAACCAGGTTACTTTTATTGCACCAGTCCATTACAGCCTTCACCTCTTCTCTTCTTTTTTTTTCTTTTTACAATAATTTTATTAAATACTAGCTGTACCCGGCCATGCGTTGCTGTGGCTCAGTCTGGTTAAATGGAAAAGAAAGAAAAGAGAAAGCGCACGTTTGTAATATGTTTAATTTCACAATGGTTGTGGGTATACAATATTTTTTGTTGTTCCATTGTCTGTGCAGACATAGAGATTGTCTGGTTTGCTTTTATGTCCAACAGATAGCGCTGTTTTTCAAAAAAGCATGTTTTTACCTGTCACAGGTGTGACATCTATATAATAGTAGGTATATAAAAACACGTGCGTATTCGAATGCAACGTTGTGTCAAAATTTCAAAGCAATCGGTGAAGAACTTTCGGAGATTTAAGATTTTGAACAAATGTTTACATTTTTATTTATATAGATTATATTATACACATAAAACTAACACAGCTAGACTTGCAGTTCTCAAGGTTTTCAATCATATGTAGCTGCCTAACGTGCAAGCAGCCCAGGTTCGAATCTCAAAAGGGTGTAGCTGGCTGATGAGAGCTAAGGAGCTCGAAATAGCTATACCAGCTTCCCTTTAACTCTTTGTTAGCAATCCAAATTTAACATACATACATACATACATACATACATACATACATACATACATACATACGCAGTTCTTGGCGTATTCGGGTCTTTTCCCGTGTAAGATTGAGAGTATCTTGGCAACGTTTCGACGAGGTCCCACTCGTCATCTTCAGGCTGGGGTCTTTGGCTTCGCACAAGCACGAAGCCAAAGACCCCAGCCTGAAGATGACGAGTGGGACCTCGTTGAAACGTCGCCAAGATACTCTCAATCTTACACGGGAAAAGACCTGAATACGCCAAGACCTGCATACCTGTACCCGTGAAAATCTACGAAAACGTATACATACATACATACATACATACATATATATCAGAAGTGCTTAATATTTTATCAGCAACACATTGTCTAGGTTCCAACATTTAACTTAACTAATACATGTTAAATTCCTCTTCTCTTCTTAATTAGACACCTGTGACACCACATAATTAGACACCTTTGACAAATGTGGAATCCAGAATGGGGCTTCCTCTGAAAATCCTTGGGTACACGGAGACCGATGAGATAGCGTAATATTTTCGGTAGATGTCTTATTTTAAAAGGATTTCTGTCTTCACTATCTGTTCCATTCCCTCTCTCCCGTATGCAGAAGAATAAAGGAATAATCTCCCTTGACGACATCAAAGTTCCAACCCAGAAGCTGATTTATAATTTAACCATTCCAGATGCATCAGTGAAGGACAGCGGAGATTATGAATGTGCTGTTAGACACGTGACTAAAGATTTTAAGAAAATGGAAAGGATTGCCATCTACGTTCACGGTAGAGCCTGTTTCTCCTTTTCACGCTATGATTGCTCATGAGAATGGCAACAAAGGTGGTCATGGAACTATTGTCTTCCTACAGATAAAGGGTTCATTCAATTGGAGCCCCAGTTCAAGCCGGCGGAGGCCGTCAATCTACACGAAGTCAAAAACTTTGTCATTTATGTCTATGCGTATCCAGAGCCAAGGATGTTTTGGCTGAAGGACAACGTCACGCTGATGGAGAATCTCACAGAGATTGTAACCAGTTCCAAGCAACTCAAAGAAACCAGGTAAAGGAACTAGCCTGTCATGGATTGGTGGGTTTCTTCACCACTGACTCCTCCATTTTGAAAACAAGGTTTCTTCTCAGAAATTATTTATTCTCCCCACGGAATAATCTTCACTCCAGGACACACCTCTCTGAAAATTTTCTCTAGTTCTCAGTCTATAGTCCAGGGGTAGGCAACCTNCAGGAATTCTGGGAGTTGAAGTCCACGAGTCATAAAAGAGCCAAGGTTGCCTACCCTCAGTCTATACCAGGGGTAGGCAACCTCGGCTCTTTGATGACTCATGGATTTCAACTCCCAGAATTCCTGAGTCAGCTGACTCAGGAATTCTGGGAGTTGAAATCCATGAGTCATCAAAGAGCCGAGGTTGCCTACCCCTGGTCTATATCATCCACTCTTATGTTTGACCAATGATTTTGTCTTTGTTAAAAGATATGCTGGAGGTTCTCAAGAAAAGATTGGATAACCCTTTGTCCAGAACGATATAAGGTCTCCTACTATGGTCAGGAGATTGGATTAAAAGACCTCCAAGGTCCCTTCTAGCGCTATGATTCTAAGATGAAGTATTGGTTGAACAGAACACAGAATAATTCTGGTTTATTCCTTGTTTCTTTGTTGGTCAGTGCCAGGTAGACATAAATTGTTAACCCTTTTTGTTCGAAATCATTGAAAATATTGACCCTATAATATACCCACCACCTGTCTATAATCTGAAGCTTCCATTCCCACAATCCTTGTTTTCTTCCCCTTCTGCTCTATCTTTCACTGTAACAGCAGTTAAACCAGTTCCAAATCTCATGTTTATTGTTTGTATAATCAATCTGCTGCCTGTCTTCTGAATCAGTCTCCAAACCTCCAATTTTCTTTGGTTGAAGAGAAGTACGGCCAGTGATCTTAACTCTCGTCAGTAGTAAAAACGGGATATAAATGTTATAAATTGATTTAGGATCAGAGAGAAGAGATACTTCAGATTTGTGGTATTTTGATCTAAGTGAGTCTTTTCAAATACATATATTTTCGTCTCCATATATTTTCGTCTCCATTAAAATAATGATTTGCTTCCTACTGTGCTGTGCTATTTTTTTAAATCACGTTTTTTTAATTATTCTCACAGATATCAGAGTGTATTAAAATTAATTCGTGCCAAGGAAGAAGACAGTGGATATTATACACTCGTGGCACAGAATGAGGACGAAATTCAAAGATACACTTTCTCCCTGCTCATACAAGGTAAACCTGTAAAAGGGGACAAGCCAACATTACACACATCACATGGGAAGCACATGAGGTATAAATATAACATGCCAACTCTGACGTGTAAATATAATATTGAGGAACAGCTTAGAATGCCAGATCAGCTATGAAGGCCACTGATAACACACATCTCAAAATTCTTGTGATGATCAAATAAAAGAAAACTCTCCTTTGTGCAACTTATTTGAAGAGGAATTGAAGTTTCACTTTAGTAGCACATTGAAGTAGGAAGGTCAGAAAAGAAAAAAATAGATTGGTATAGATCAGGGGTAGGCAACCTTGGCTCTTTTATGACTCGTGGACTTCAACTCCCAGAATTCCTGAGCCAGCCATGCTGAGGGGAAAGGGAGAGGTTTCCAAGCTGAGCCATGCTGGCTCAGGAATTCTGGGAGTTGAAGTCCACGAGTCATAAAAGAGCCAAGGTTGCCTACCCCTGGTATAGATGAATTGGTATGAATAGTGCTTCTGAAATTCAGCCAGTAACTTAGCAAATTATGTAGGAAAATTGTGCTTGCTTGCTGGTATTGGTGGATGATAGTCTGGGGATTATTTCAGTCGACATACTTCAACATCTGCTGTGCTTGGCTGAAAAGCAGACGTGGTCCCATCCATGAGGTTTTAATTTGGAGAGAGGAAGGGGCACATTAAAGGGATAAGGAATGGCAGAACAAAATAAGCATTTAGCGCAGAACTTACCCTGATGACCATGTTTAAGGAAGAAATTTGGAAAGAGTTCATAGAGATCTGTTTCCATTCAGTGCTATCAGATATGTTTTGTTTACTTGCATCCTTAAAAAGGGCTTCAATTAATTGGCTCGTAGATTATAAATGTTTTCGTACAACTTGCAGATGGGAAATGCTGCTTTAGGGGAGCGCGTCTCTTTGACGTGGAGAGAAGTGTATAATTTTTAATCACAGGATCTGTAATAACAATGCACAATGCTTTAGCTAAAATCAGAAAGCCCCTCTTGCTTCTGAATGCTTGGATTTATACATTTGTAAAATTAACTGATTGGGAAACTGACTGTTAATGGGCATTTTGTGACTTCTATGGGAGGATCATTTGCTATTCATACTGATTAGATTTACTGTAAAGTTCTCGATGTGTATCAAGGTAAATCTTTATTAAAAACTAGCTGTACCCAGCCACGCGTTGCTGTGGCTCAGTCTGGTAAAAGCGTGTGTTGCTTTTACGTCCAACAGATGGCACTGTTTTTTAAAAAAAGCCATGTTTTTACCTGTCACAGGTGTGACCTCTATATAATAGTAGGTATATAAAAACACGCGCATATTCGAATGGAACGTTGTGTCAAAATTTCAAAGCAATCGGTGAAGAACGTTCGGAGATTTAAGATTTTGAACAAACGAACATTTACATTTTTATTTATAATAAATAGATTGATTGATAGATAGATACATAGATAGATAGATAGATAGATAGATAGATAGATAGATAGATAGATAGATAGATAGATAGATAGATAGATAGATAGATAGATGATTCAGAGAAGTGCTGCAGGCTTCAATTAGTAAATAAGGAATTGTTTTCACTGTGGCAAACTCCCATGATAGAAAATTTAAAAAAAATCTTTTTGGATTAAAAAAAAAACTTTCTCTGGTAAATGACACTTCTATTGAAGTTCTGGTAATACTGCATGTCAAATGACTTAAATAATTTAATGTTCTGATTATTTATCAAGTAATAATGAGCATTGGCAGCCTAAGCTCTGAGATAAGAAATGCTTTGTTGAGATTGAAAATTGAATTAGCTGATTTCAAGTTGAAATACTCAGTTTAAGTCTTGATTCCTCACACCTTTTTCATAGAAATATGGATACAGAAGACTTGTTAAATACAATATCTTATCCGGTTGCCTATACCAGGGGTAGGCAACTTTGACTCTTTTATGACTCGTGGACTTCAACTCTCAGAATTCCTGAGGTAGCATGGCTCAGCTTGGAAACCTCTCCCTTTCCCCTCAGCATGGCTGGCTCAGGAATTCTGGGAGTTGAAGTCCACGAGTCATAAAAGAGCCAAGGTTGCCTATCCCTGATCTAGGCCTAGGTCGCTTTATGACTCGTGGACTTCAACTCCCAGAATTCCTGAGCCAGCATGGCTCAGCTTGGAAATCTCTCCCTTTCCCCTCAGCATGGCTGGCTCAGGAATTCTGGGAGTTGAAGTCATAAAAGAGCCAAGATTTCCTACCCCTGGCCTATAGTGTATTATGGTCAAAACGGCCCCAGATATTCTGTATCCAACAGCAGAATATTGCTGACTCTTTAGAGACTGTCTGCAGTTACATTGGTAACGAACAAGTAACCAATCTTCGCATTTATAACCTTTGCAGGTCTGTAAAGCAAAGGAAAGCTGAAGTCAAGTCATAAGCACAGTCCTGGTTTCACTTGGTGGCTGCTTTGCTTACTGACCAAGTTGTTTGTCCCAATTTTGCTATGCTAAAAGAGGACTATACGTAAACTATCAGTAGCTTGATCTCATATCAGTGATCTTCATGGTAGTGATTTCCATATATACTAGATTTCAGCTCTCATGATTTGCAAGCACCCTGTTGGGCCACATTGGCTGAGACTAAGGGAGGTTCAACAGATCCCAAACCCACCAGATTCAAGAAGGTCTCCTTATGCAGCTTGTGACTACGTTTAGTTGGGGCTACCTCTGGGAAAATGTGCAGTGTATTGCCATCTAGTACTGCAGTCTTCCTACTTAGAAGTAACTTATGGTGAATTACTCTCCCTTTTGGCAAGCAATCACAGAACTGCATGATAGGGTCAAATTTATATGGATGTCTAATTAAACTTCACCTGACTTGAGTTAAGAGAAAAGCATTTCAGGTAAATAGGGATAGATAATTTATATAATGCAGGAGACTATCCTGTCTCAGGGAATACAAGCCAAAAAAAAAAAAAAGGGCCTCCATTTCTGAAGCTGCATTTCCTCAAGAAACAACTGTGTCTGCCAGGCAGATGTGAATTCAAAAATAGTCTGGCTCCGAAGAAACCCGCTCCAGCAGATGAACCTCTTACACGCTCTTCCCAATTTATCCCTTTCCAGTTCCAGCTTTAATTCGGGACCTGGTAGATAATCACCACGGCTCTGTTGGGCAGACAGTCAAATGTTTGGCAGAAGGGACACCCCTCCCCGATGTGGAATGGCTGGTTTGCAAGGACATTAAGAAGTAAGGCCTTTGATTTTGGCTGCCTTGTGTGGCTTTAGCTGGCTGGTATAACGACATGTTTACTACATCCTTTTCATAATATATAATGTTCCTCAACTGGACGCCTTCCAGTTTGTATTGCATTTCAACTCCCATAACTCCAAAATTGGGAATCATTTATTTGTTGTTGTTAATTGTGAAGTTGTGTCCGACCCATCACGACCCCATGGACAACCTTCCTCCAGGCCTTCCTGTCCTCTACCATCTTCTGGAGTCCATTTAAACTCACGCCTACTGCTTCAGTGACTCCATCCAGCCACCTCATTCTCTGTCATCCCCTTCTTCTATTGCCCTCCATCTTTCCCAGCATTAGGCTCTTCTCCAGTGAGTCCTTCCTTCTCATTAGGTGGCCAAAGTACTTGAGTTTCAACTTCAGGATCTGGCCTTCTAAAGAGCAGTCAGGGTTGATCTCCTCTAGGACTGACAGGTTTGATCACCTTGCAGTCCAGTCCAATCATTTATTAGCTAATAATAAACTAGTAATACAAAATGGCAATGGACAGTCAGGATGGAGAGTGGCTAAAGGATTATGGGAGTTGAAACCATTTGAAAATATGTTTGGACATCGCTGAGGTAAAGATTTCAGATTTGGGAGTGGGAATACCATTTATATTGATTAAAATGCCTCTTGAATTTTTAACTCTTGGGTGCAGTCAATGTATTGTTAAATGTCTGAATGCATATAACGTATTTTTAAACAACCCAAGAGACAAGATTTCCTAAACAGAGTTGGACCAACAGCAATGGTTAATCATTTCTCTTACATGGTGCTACTCAACAACTATTATTTTCTTCCTTATAGAAACAGATACCCCTTGTGTGTTGGAGTGATATATAATTTAAAACCCAAGATTAGTTGTTAGTAATAAGTCAACCTTATGAACTGCATCTAACAATATTTCCTAAGCTTAGGTTTTGTGTGAAAAGCATGCTATAAATCTGTCAAACACTTTGGAATAAAGGATAAAAGCTGAGATTTGTCGACGTACATGGAACCATTCTTAATACTCCTGAAATGTTGTTGTTGTGATATTAATAAATGGCTGTTGTTCAAAGAAAGTGTTGATGCTGCTTGGGCAACGTGTCCTGATGCACGTCAAGATATTTGTTCACTAAATAGTCTTCAGTAAAGGAAGACCTTTTTTGGGTGGGATCAATCAAAAAGCGACTTCTCTCTAGATGCAACAATGACACCTCATGGACACTCCTGACCAACAATATCTCTGACGTTACGGTGGAGACTCATCTTGATGAGAGGAACATGGTAGCCAGCCAGGTGACATTTCAGAAGGTGGAAGAAATCATGGCTGTTCGATGTATGGCTAAGAATGACCTTCGTACTGTTACAAGGGAACTGAAGCTTGTGGCTCCTAGTAAGTTAACTTTGTTTGATTTTATGTTAATTAGTTTAACTTAGAAGACTTTCACCTGTTTAGACACCCAATCAAATGTATTAAGGCAGCGTCCCCCAATCTTTTGGGCACCAGGGACCGGTTCTGTGGAGAGAAGTTTTTCCACGGACCGGAGGGGGTGTGGTTTCGTGTGCTGCCTGCATCCCGCGGATGGGGCTTTGCTTATTTGTGTGGACCGGTTGCTGGCATGCCGTGGACCGGTGGCGGTCCACAAACCGGGGATTGGGGACTCTGTCTTAAGGTAATAGTAACTTATTATTCAAAGCCAATGTGTGGAGTTTTCATGAGTATTTTAAATACAGATAACCCACAAATGAGCCCAAAATTTCTGTTCCTAAGCAAGACAATTGTTAAGTGAGTTTTGCCCCATTTTAGGACCTTTCTTGCCACAGTTGTTAAGTGAATCACGGCAGTTATTAAGTTAGTAACATGGTTGTTAAGTGAATCCCCATTGTCTTTGCTTGTCAGGAGGTCACAAAAGGGGATCACGCAACTGCACTGCAAACTTGTCATAAATATGAGCCAGTTGCCACGCAGCTGAATTTTGATCACGTGACCGTGGGGATGCTGCAATGGACATAAGTGTGAAAAACAGTCATAAGTCACTTTCTTCACTGCCGTTGTAACTTTGAATGGTCACTAAATGAATGGTTATACGAAGCTCCTGATGGACAAAATGTTAGGCTGAGCAAACTTCGTCAGACTGTCGACATGAAAGACTCCCTGTTAAGGACATGACACCCGTTTAAAGGTATACTATTGAAACAAATCTCAATACCATCTTTCGTCCCCAGAAGTTTGAACCGGGAAAATACTGAACACCTGAAGTTGAGGGTCTTAAGGAGTCGGTCCGTGACCTGTCCTATGTTAATACCAGTGAAGTCAGAATGAAAAGGGAGTCAGAATGAAAAGTCAGAATGAAAAGTTAGTTTGCTTTAGAAAAAGGAACGAACAAATCCTCTGTGCTTCTCCTTTACAGCATTAAGATCGGAACTCACAGTGGCGGCTGCTGTCCTCGTCCTCCTTGTGATTGTAATAATCGCGCTGATTGTCTTGGTAATCATATGGAAACAGGTAAGGAGAAATCCTTCCTCTAAACCAAATTCTGCACGGTTTAATGTATTGGGATGGAGCTGACCTTCCATGCCTTCTTTTGCCCAGAAACCCAGATATGAGATCAGATGGAGAGTCATTGAGTCGATCAGTCCTGATGGCCACGAATACATCTACGTGGATCCTATGCAATTGCCCTATGACTCAAGATGGGAGTTTCCTAGGGATGGATTAGTGCTAGGTAAGGATCACCCAAAGACGTGTGATTGTTGCTGCCGCCAAGAAAAGAGCCTCGGAATTTTTCATGGGAAACCTCAGAGGTGTTATTCCCATTAATAATGTACCAGAAATGGGTTAAACTAGAAGACCTTCAAGTTTTCTTCCAACACTGTTATTCTGTCATTATGCTGATCCTGTTGGCAACCCAAACAGCTCAAAAGGCTACAGGTGAGATTGCTACGGCCTTTCAGTTCTTGGAAGATATTCTTATCGTAGTGAAATGGAAAATATTTTTTTTTTCTTCTTTTATGGGGCTTCATGACAAATCCCAGTGACACTGGAGCAGTTCATGCTGTTTCTATTCCTTGGCCTGGAGCTAATCAAATGTCCTATTGTTGATAGTGACATGGTGAAAAAAAGAGAGCTTGGGTACTTCTGCTTACTTAGGGCATCTTCCTTTCTACCTTTTCTCATGCTTATTTTATGCAAAAGTGAAGCAATAATTTAAGATGGCGGAAGTCTCAACTTTATATCACTTCAGATTGTAGCTAGATGGGCATCCTGTATAGAATTGAAATAAGGTCATATTTTTTTGAGTTTCAACTCTTGCCTAATTAAAAACAGGCTTCCAGTGCTCAAGAAGAAGGTACCAGTAGATTTTATTAGGTTTACGGAAGTTACCCATGCCACATATTTAGAAAAACTCTCGAAAGGAAAAAAAATAATAATTCCAGAGTTAATTCTCAGTAACTGTATTCTCTCACCTCTAGGCCGAATCCTTGGTTCTGGAGCTTTTGGGAAAGTAGTGGAAGGAACCGCATATGGATTAAGCCGGTCACAACCAGTGATGAAAGTAGCTGTGAAAATGTTGAAACGTAAGTATTTTTTTCCGTTTACAGCTAATATACCGCATCATTCTGTTACATATTCAAGATGGGCAGTGTTTAATATTCGTATGTTATGTATATGTAGGGGTGTTGGTCTATACATATGTTGTATATAGTATGTATATGTTGTATATAGAATGTTTGGGTGTATGTCATGTATGTGTTCACTTTGAGAGCGGGCAACTAAATTTCATTTTTGACGTGTGTCGTTGTGCCCACAGTAAAAAATGACAACAAAGGTTGCCTTGCCTTGCCTTGCCTTGCCTTGCCTTGCCTTGCCTTGCCTTGCCTTGCCTTGCCTTGCCTTGCCTTGCCTTGCCTTGCCTTGCCTTGCCCCGTCCCATCTTCTCTTCTCTTCTCTTCTCTTCTCTTCTCTTCTCTTCTCTTCTCTTCTCTTCTCCTCTCCTCTCCTCTCCTCTCCTCTCCTCTCCTCTCCTCTCNGCTTCGAGGACTACCTGTTTTACAATCCGACTCGTTTGAAGCAGTCTGACAGCTGTACTTTCTGAGGGACAATTCCTGTACTGTGGGCAAATTTCCATATGATAACTTTGTTTAGAGTTATGGTAGAAAGCAGGGGTCTTCAAACTTGGCCCTTTTATGACTTGTGGACTTCAACTCCCAGAATTCCTCAGCCAGGCACGCCTGTCCTATGTTAATACCAGTGAAGTCAGAATGAAAAGGGAGTCAGAATGAAAAGTCAGAATGAAAAGTTAGTTTGCTTTAGAAAAAGGAACGAATAAATCCTCTGTGCTTCTTCTTAACAGCATTAAGATCGGAACTCACGGTGGCGGCTGCTGTCCTCGTCCTCCTTGTGATTGTAATAATCGCGCTGATTGTCTTGGTAATCATATGGAAACAGGTAAGGAGAAATCCTTCCTCTAAACCAAATTCTGCACGGTTTTAATGTATTGGGATGGAGCTGACCTTCCATGCCTTCTTTTGCCCAGAAACCCAGATATGAGATCAGATGGAGAGTCATTGAGTCGATCAGTCCTGATGGCCACGAATACATCTACGTGGATCCTATGCAATTGCCCTATGACTCAAGATGGGAGTTTCCTAGGGATGGATTAGTGCTAGGTAAGGATCACCCAAAGACGTGTGATTGTTGCTGCCGCCAAGAAAAGAGCCTCGGAATTTTTCATGGGAAACCTCAGAGGTGTTATTCCCATTAATAATGTACCAGAAATGGGTTAAACTAGAAGACCTTCAAGTTTTCTTCCAACACTGTTATTCTGTTATTATGCTGATCCTGTTGGCAACCCAAACAGCTCAAAAGGCTACAGGTGAGATTGCTACGGCCTTTCTGTTCTTGGAAGATATTCTTATCGTAGTGAAATGGAAAAAAAATTTTTTTCTTCTTTTATGGGGCTTCATGACAAATCCCAGTAACACTGGAGCAGTTCATGCTGTTTCTATTCCCTGGCCTGGATCTAATCAAATGTCCTATTGTTGATAGTGACATGGTGAAAAAAAGAGAGCTTGGAGCACTTCTGCTTTCTTAGGGCATCTTCCTTTCTACCTTTTCTCATGCTTATTTTATGCAAACGTGAAGTAATAATTTAAGATGGCGGAAGTCTCAACTTTATATCACTTCAGATTGTAGCTAGATGGGCATCCTGTATAGAATTGAAATAAGGTCATATTTTTTTGAGTTTCAACTCTTGCCTAATTAAAAACAGGCTTCCAGTGCTCAAGAAGGAAGGTACCAGTAGATTTTACTAAGTTTACGGAAGTTACCCATGCCACATATTTAGAAAAACTCGCGAAAGGAAAAAAATTACTCCAGAGTTAATTCTCAGTAACTGGATTCTCTCGCCTGTAGGCCGAATCCTTGGTTCTGGAGCTTTTGGGAAAGTAGTGGAAGGAACCGCATATGGATTAAGCCGGTCACAACCAGTGATGAAAGTAGCTGTGAAAATGTTGAAACGTAAGTATTTTTTTTCCATTTACAGCTAATATACCGCAACATTCTGTTATATATTCAAGATGGGCAGTGTTTAATATTCGTATGTTTATGTAGGGGTGTTGGTCTATACATATGTTGTCTATAGTATATATATGTTGTATATAGAATGTTTAGGTGTGTGTCATGTATGTGTTCACTTTGAGAGCGGGCAACTAAATTTCATTTTTGACGTGTGTCGTTGTGCCCACAGTAAAAAATGACAACAAAGGTTATCTTGCCTTGCCTTGCCTTGCCTTGCCTTGCCCCGTCCCATCTTCTCTTCTCTTCTCTTCTCTTCTCTTCTCTTCTCTTCTCTTCTCTTCTCTTCTCTTCTCTTCTCTTCTCCTCTCCTCTCCTCTCCTCTCCTCTCCTCTCCTCTCCTCTCCTCTCCTCTCCTCTCCTCACCTCACCTCACCTCATCCTACCCCACCCTACCCTACCCTACCTCATCTTACCTCACCCCATCCCATCTCATCATTCTCTTTAATGCCATCTCATTAGCATTTGAGCTTGCAATAAAGATTAATTAGCTCAATGTATTTTCTGTAGAATTAATATTTAATGTGACTAGTATTTTTTTTTAAAAAAAGGATTGAATAAAGTTACCAGTTGATACTTCTGCTCATAGCAGCGGAGCTGAGAAAATCTAATTATATATAGGAACTCATCAACGCACAACCACCGTGGGCAACCAGAATTTCCATTGCTAAGCGAGGCAGTTGCGCCCAATTTTATGCCCACATTTGTTAAGTAAATTACTGCCATTCTTAAGTGAATCATGCAGTCATTAAGCCCATCCAGCTTCCCCCATTGACTTTGGTGTGTCCGAAACCAGTTGGGAAGTTTGCAAATGGCGATCACGTGGCCCAGGGATGCTGCAACGGTTGTAAATATACGACAGTTGCCAAGTGCCCGAATTTTGGCCTCATGACTATGGGGATGCTGCGACAGTTGTAAGTGTGAGTACTGGTTATAAGTCATTCATGATGCGAAATAATAATTTTGAGGTGCTCACAGTGTGATTCAGGAAACTACACTGGGAAATGTCCACCGTGGGAAGATAGTGCTGCTTTATTTATTAAGCAAGTTAAGGAATCAGCAAATAAAATAAAAGGAATTTTCTTTCCCTAGCACAGGGGTAGGCAACCTTGGCTCTTTTATGACGCATGGACTTCAACTCCCAGAATTCCTGAGCCAGCCATGCTGAGGGGAAAGGGAGAGGTTTCCAAGCTGAGCCATGCTGGCTCAGGAATTCTGGGAGTTGAAGTCCACGCGTCATAAAAGAGCCAAGGTTGCCTACCCCTGCCCTAGCAGATCTTCTTTTGAAAACTATTTCCCCCCCCAATAAGATTCCTGTTCATAAAGAAACAGTGACCATGTAACTTACTTCTGTGCAGGTTGACCTCGACTTACAACAGTTCATTTAGTGACTGTTCAAAGTTACAACAGCACTGGAAAAAGTGACTTATGGCCATTTTTCACAGTTACAACCTTTGTAGCATCCCCACGGTCACGGGATCAAAATTCAGATGCTTGGCAACTGGTTCATACTTATGACCACTGCTGAGTCCCAAGGTCATGTGGTCAACCCTTTGCAACCTTTTGACAAGCAAAGTCAATGGGGGAAGTCAGATTCACTTAACAGCAGGGTTACTAATTAACTGCAGTGAGTCACTTAACAACCGGGGCCAGATCGGTCATAACATGGGGCACGACTCACTTTAACGACAGAAATTTTGAGCTCAGCTATGGTCACAACTACCTGTAATTTCTAGAATAACGCATTCTAATTCTCTTGTGCACTGTATTTTCCCGCCAGCAACGGCAAGATCCAGCGAAAAGCAGGCTCTTATGTCTGAATTAAAGATAATGACCCATCTTGGCCCCCACTTGAACATTGTCAACCTTTTAGGAGCCTGCACAAAATCAGGTAAATTTCTCTAGCCGTCCTCTTTGTCCCTTTTTCTTGAAAAAAAAAAGAGATTAGCAGGGCTGGCTCTTCTCCTTGAGCTAGTATTTAGAAGAGTAGTCTGTAATTTAAGAAATCAAACGCTGGCCATTTTACTCGATCGCTGTTGCGGTTCGCTATACAAGCCTTCCCAGCATGAAGTTCTTCAGATGTGTTGGTTGCTCAAATGACAACTCCTTTGAATTACCAGGCAGCAGGAGAAGCACATCGAGAAGGCGCCAAGTTCAGGAGGTAGCATAATTATTCTATAATTATTGTCAATCCTGTGTTATCAGGATTGCATAATTTAAGACCTCACCAAGCCAAACACGGCCTCTTTAGCCATAGAAAGAAGCGACAAGAGACTTCCAAGCAGTGGTGGGATTCAAATAGGTGAACAACCGGGTTCTCTGTCTGGATGCCACTTCTGGAAGTCCATTCTGAGCCTGGGCAACAAAAAATTAGCTACCGGTTCTGCCAAACTGGTGCGAACTGGCTGAATCCCACCACTGCTTCCAACTACAGAGAGGTTGCTATGAACATGGTAGGTTATGATTCGTAGTTCTTGACATTCAGATTTCAGAACCTTTCTGATAGCCTTTAAGGACATGATGTTTATGTGTATAATTCAGTGTAGAAATGTGTCTGATGACCACTAAGTATGTCTCAAAAGGCAGATTTCAGGAGAGCGCCTAGGACAGGGGTAGGCAACCTTGGCTCTTTTATGACTGGTGGATTTCAACTCCCAGAATTCCTGAGCCAGCATGGTTCAGCTTGGAAATCTCTCCCTTTCCCCTCAGCATGGCTGGCTCAGGAATTCTGGGAGTTGAAGTCCACGAGTCATAAAAGAGCCAAGGTTGCCTACCCCTGGCCTGGGACTCTCAGCGGTTTGCTTTTGTGACAAGAATGGGAGATGAATTCAAAGACTTCCTTCATGCTTCTTGGAGTTTGTCCACCAAGAAAGAATCATTGTTATTGAGACGTAATCCCTATCATTGATCTCCGATTAGTTTCCAAACATGACTTCCAGGAGGCATTAAGTATTCTGCTTTGTTCCTCCTCGCCAGGTCCAATATACATCATAACGGAATACTGTTTTTATGGAGACTTGGTGAACTACCTCCATAAAAATAGGGATAATTTTCTGAGTCGGCACCCTGAAAAGGCGAAGAAGGATCTGGACATTTTTGGCATGAATTCTGCAGATGAAAGCACGAGAAGGTAAGCTTGACCTCTAAAGTAATCAAAGGGACAATGTTAATCTGTCCCGTCTGCCTTTAGCGTATAGCCATGCTGGCCACATGACTACAGAAATTGTCATTGGACAAACATATAAGGAACGGCTGCTGGAATTGGGTATGTCTAGTTTAATGAAGAGAAGGACAAGGGGGGACATGATAGCCGTGTCCCAATGTCTCAGGGGTTGCCCCAAAGAAGAAGGAGTCAAGCTATTCTCCAAAGCACCTGAGGGAAGGACAAGAAGCAACAGATGGAAACTAATCAAGGAGAGAAGCAACCTGGAACTAAGGAGAAATTTCCTGACAGTGAGAACAATTAATCAGTGGAACAACCTGCCTCCAGAAGCTGTGGGTGCTCCAACACTGGAGATTTTTAAGAAAGTTGTCTGAAATGGTATAGGGCAGACATGTCAAACACAAGGCCCGGGGGCCGGATGCGGCCCACGACGTGGTTTCATGTGGCCCGTGAAGCCATCCTGGAAACAGTGAGGGAACGACCCCCGCTGCCTTGGCCCTGGCCCAGGCCGGCTGGGAGCCAATGTACAATTTTGTGGTGGCCATCTATGCTGAAACGCATTCAGTCTTAGCTCTACAAGGCCGTCTGGAAACAGCGAGGAACCAGCCCCTGCCGCGTCTGCCCCTCCTGGCTGCATCCTGGGGAGGTGTCACCCTTTGTGAGGAATGAAGAAATGCACCATCGCCTGGAAGTGGCCAGCAAATGGCCCTCACCTACTTCACATATCCGGCTTGATGGGCTCCAGGGGAGGGGTTTCGGCAGACTCTTCCAGTGGACCATGCCTTGGCACTTGCCCTGGTCCCACCCCCTTCTGCCAGAGACCCTCAGATCTGTCCCACTCCTGCCCAGGCCTCCACAGGCACCTTTGACGCGAACGATGTAGAGCTGGCCATGCCCACCCAGTAGGCCACACTCCACCTATGCCCACCCAGTAGGCCGCACCCACCCTGGCCACACCTATCCGGCCTATGCCCCCCCCCCAACAATCTGGGTCCTCATTTTACCACCCTCGGAAGGATGGAAGGCTGAGTCAACCTTCAGCCGGTCAGGATCGAACTGCAGGCAAGCGGCAGTCCTAACAGAAGTAGCCTGCAAGTACTGCATTCTAACCACTGCACCACCTCGGTGCACAAAAAAAGATGTTGAAAATTTGGAAAAAAATTCAGAGAGGAGCAACTAAGATGATCCAAGGCCTGGAGACTAAAACATACGAAGAACGGCTGCAGGACTTGAGTTTGGCTAGTCTAAAGAAAAGAAGAAACGGGAGACATGATAGCAGTATTCCAGTATTTGAGGGGCTGCCACAAAGAGGAGGGGTTCACGTTATTCACCAATGCACCAGAGGGCAGGACAAAAAACAATGGTTGGAAACTGATCAAAGAGAGAAGCAGCCTGGAATTAAAGATAAACTTCCTAACAGTGAGGACAATTAACCAGTGGAACTGCTTGCTTCCAGAAATCGTGGGCGCTCCATTACTGGAGATTTTTAAGACGAGACTAGACATTCACCTGTCTGAGATGGTATAGGTTCTCCTTCTTGAGCAGGGGGCTGGACTAGAAGACCTCCAAGGTCCCTTCCAGCTGTATTCTATTCTAAATATTCTAAATAATCAGCAAATAACAGATCAGTATAATAAATACAGTAAATATTCAAACTCCAATTTCTTTATATCGCTACTGTGCTTTTTAATTCCAGCTATGTCATCCTGTCCTTTGAAAACAATGGTGAATATATGGATATGAAACAAGCAGAGACAACTCAGTATGTGCCCATGTTAGAAAGAAAAGACAAGTCGAAATACTCTGACATCCAAAGATCTTTGTATGATCGGCCTGCTTCATATAAGAAAAAATCTATATTGGGTGAGTCCACTTATATATCCTAGCATATACAACTAAGTAACTTTATTCTGCAAAGAATCAGACTAGATTAAGGTTAGGTTTTCTCCTTGAACTGTTCCCCCCCCCTGAACAAAGTCATTTGAAGTTGTTGCTAATCTTGTAGGAACAAAAGTTAGAAGATTTTGTGGATGGCTTTTGTCATTTCACCTCTCTATTCCACAGTTTTTATGGTTGACGTTTGGTTCCGTATTGTCCCTAATAGCTGCACCATTTAGTTCTTTTATGCTGGCACTCATGGCAGAAATGATTGCCATTAGATTTTATTTTATTTTTCGTCTTTCAGGCTTGATTGCAATGGTCTCTTTCTGTGTTCATCTCTCTGTATGCGTACAAGGATCGCTAAGGGTCAAGTCTTATGGCCATTTAGGCATTCAATTTTCCTAAAAATTGAATGATTTCAGCTTGGTTTAAAGTCGTATAAAGTCTGAAAGATTACAGCAGCATCTCACTGATTATAATCTGAATTATAACTTTTTCATGAAAAACGCAATGTATTTATTCTTCCTGTAGAACAGGGGTCTTCAAACTTGGCCCTTTTATGACTTGTGGACTTCAACTCCCAGAATTCCTCAGCCAGGCACGCGTGCCTGGCTGAGGAATTCTGGGAGTTGAAGTCCACAAGTCATAAAAGGGCCAAGTTTGAAGACCCCTGATGTAGAATGAGTTGAAGTCCACAAGTCATAAATGGGCCAAGTTTGAAGACCCCTGATGTTGCCACAGGTGATAGCTTCCACTGTAAGCATCTTAAAGTGAGTCTCCAAAAGTGAGCAGGGCTGGATCTGGTTAGTCATCGGATGAGAGACCAACAGAAATTCCAAAGTCTGGGAAGTCAAAAAGACATCATGGAAGAAAGCGATGGCAAATTAATTTCCATACCGCTACCAGAACAGCAGCATAGATGCCTCCACAGAGTCACCCATAATGAAGCTCAGTTCAAGGGTGTCTTTAATTAAAACCACATTTTGGCATAATAAGAAATCCAAATAATATTAACATACTTGGAACAAATGTCGCATTATTATTGCACACTAGTCGATATCGTGTGCACTAGGAAGAATTGAAAGTGAAGTATTAAAGCAGTTGGACTATCCTATGCACATAGCAGTTGGTTCATAAGGTCCCCAAATATTCAGTCCCAGAAAGTTCCTGTATCTTGAAGAATCCTACAAAAGTCAGAGTCGTATTAGGTGTTAACATTTCCTGCTTCAGGGGACAGGGAAGGCAAAAATATACCAGGTTTGGCTTTTCTTTCTGCAAATGACAATTATATTGTTTCTTACAATTCGGTTGATTATCTAAGGTTGTTGTGACAGCATCAGTTACTATTTATAATTCAAAATGAGGTAGGTATTTAGGGTGACCTCTGGAGTCAAAGATTTCCTATCTTTTCTTTCTTTCTTTTTTTAAAATAAATTTTTATTGAGTTTTATAAGGGGTAGGGAAAGGATAAGATCGGTATGGATATTGGATGGGGTTAAGGGATGGGGTTGGGATAAGAGTAAGGGTACGTACAATCGTGGGGTTACCCCCAGTAAAAAAATCAACGCTTTAGCAAGCAGACTATCGTCCTGGTACAAATATTAAATGACAGTAATTAATATAATACTAAACAGTTATAATCACTAATAATGACAATAATCATACAAGTAAAGCTTAGTGAATAATGATCATTCATCCTGTTAAACTTCACCGTCCTTTCTCGTTCTATCATATTGCTAACCATTGATAAAAAAAATTTCCCATGTTTTGAAATAAACTGAATCTTCTTTCTCTTTAATCTCTAAAGTTAATCTGTCCATTTCTGCACATTCTAAGATTTTCGTAATTATAGTCCGATCAGGTGGGCTATCTTTTCTTTATCCTTTTATCTAGCACATAATGCTAACGTGTACCTCTATCCATAGAACTGATCAATGATTTTTTTTTTAGGCTTAATGAGGGCCAGTGTCATTGGTGGCACAAATGGTTTTGTTTTCCTTTTTTTTTTTTTTTTTTTATTGTATTTGGCCGATTTTGAGCCACTGGTTTGTGCTTTTCCTTAGATTAGGATTCCTTCCTAAGAGTTAAACCGACTTTAAACAGAAGTAATTTGTAGAATGCCAAATTGATGGTTAGTCAAGGGCCGTACGACCAGCTCATCCCTTTTACTGTCCTATTACTGTCCTTTTACTGTCCTATTACACTGAAATCTGATCTATGGTTTACAAAACAGATTGGCTCTCTCCTGATTCTTGAACTGGATTCTCTTCCCGTCCCAGCTCCACTGGCAGAGGCTGGTCCACTAAGGCTTTACTGAGTCCACAAGTCACCAAATGATTATAGTTTATAGTTTGCAGCTGTCATTTTCCTGAGCATAATAAGAGCCATGCTGTAGAATCATTGATCCTTTGAGAGCCTTGGGTGACCTCAATTACCAAAAAGCACGAGCCAGCCTACTAGCAGAAGCTAAACAGGACAAAAATGGATATGAGTTGAAAACAAGTGGACGACTCCATGCCATTTCTAAATGATGCCTTTGGATTTAAACCACACGGGGAATAAAGTAACAACAAGCCCTGTAATGTGTAGGTGGTACTTCTTTTATCCTGCAATTTCTAGGAAAAATGTCTATAATTAAAGGAGATATATTTAGTATTTGGATTTATTTATTTTTTTTAAAAAAATACTCTTCTCTACTATCGATGGATAAAAACGTAGCTTGTTATGTTGAAATGTTTTGGAGATAGGACAGATGTTATGGAAGGACAGAGGAAAAGTTGCTGGATTTGGTAAAGGGAAACGACAATCTAAGGCAGGGGTAGGCAACCTTAACTCTTTTATGACTCGTGGACTTCAACTCCCAGAATTCCTGAGCCAGCATGGCTCAGCTTGGAAACCTCTCCCTTTCCCCTCAGCATGGTTGGCTCAGGAATGCTGAGGAGAAATAGAGAGGTTTCCATGTTGAGCCATGCCGGCTCAGGAATTCTGGGAGTTGAAGTCCACGAGTCATAAAAGAGCCAAGGTTGCCTACCCCTGATCTGGAGGGTCTTCGCCTAGGCCAGGGGTAGGCAACCTTGGCTCTTTTATGACTTATGGACTTCAACTCCCAGAATTCCTGAGCCAGCATGGCTCAACATGGAAACCTCTCCATTTCCCCTCAGCATGGTTGGCTCAGGAATTCTGGGAGTTGAAGTCCACGAGTCATAAAAGAGCCAAGGTTGCCTACCCCTGATCTAAGGAAATAACGATAATAAGTACTTAATTCTTGAATTTTAGGCAGGAAAAGAGGTTGTGTGTTGTGATTAAATCAGTCTGCTGGAGACACCGTGTTGTCTCCTTCACGTCTCAGAAAGACGCAACCTGTTCAAAAGCCTTTCACTCTGAGGCTGCCTGAAAGAGATTGACGGATTGATTGATTCCTCTGGAGTTAAAATTTAACAAAAGAATTTTCTTTTCATTTTTTTCCCCTCCTGTCCATGAAACTAGATGGGAAGAATCTGCTTTCTGATGATAATTCAGAAGGCCTCAGTTTGTTGGATCTTCTGAGCTTCACCTACCAAGTAGCTCGGGGAATGGAGTTCCTGGCTTCAAAAAACGTAAGTGGAAAAGCTTGGAGGGTGGCTTCATTTAAACCAGGGGTTCTCAACCTTGGCAACTTTAAGACTTGTGGACTTCAACTCCCAGAATTCCTCAGCCAGCTTTGCTGGCTGAGGAATTCTGGGAGTTGAAGTCCACAAGTCTTAAAGTTGCCAAGGTTGAGAACCCCTGATTTAAACAAAAGTTTTCATCCAAGCTTTGCAAAGAGGTTTTATAAAAAGAACAATCAGCAGAACGTGCATGAGAAAATTTCTATTGTATACGTAATTTGAGACAATGGACATTTTCCCACACAGCTGTCCAATCCAAGGCAAAAATCCAAAGAGCCAATTCTGTCATAAATCCAGTATAACGTATTTAGATCTAAAGTTTCCTATTAAATTCTAGAAAACGAAACAAAAGAAATTACGCCAATACCATTCCCTAGCAAGGTTAATAAGAGGGAAGTTATCTAAATCAGGCAATGGGGAGGAAACACAATTCAAACACAATTGGTAGACTTCACACATATCATTACCGAACATAGACTCTGGGTTTTTGAAAGGATGAGTGCAGACACACCAAATCTAGAAGGAGTGTATTTGTACATTTACATCAGGGGTCTTCAGACTTGGCCCTTTTATGACTTGTGGACTTCAACTCCCAGAATTCCTCAGCCAGCATGCCTGGCTGTGGAATTCTGGGAGTTGAAGTCCACAAGTCAAAAGGGCCAAGTTTGAAGACCCCTGATTTACATATTATTTTCTGAAAAATGAATATTATTATGAGGGGGAGAAGAAACCACTTCGTTTCTAGCTTCAAACCCCAATTTTCACCTCTTTTGATCAGTCACTTGAGTTATTTTAAGAACGGGGATGGGAAAGGGACCCTCTCTAAATTTAACGACCAACCAGATTTTTAAATGTTGTACCCCAAGAAGGACAGTTTTCCGAGTGGGATCTTCCTGAATGTACGATGGTTGGGTCAGAGTTAGGAGTTTATCCCTGTCAGCGATTTCCCCCCCAACTTATTCCATAGATCTGCTTGCCATTACATATCTTATGTATAAGTCACAGTTTCTATGTTAGGATCTAGGCAGCTTGAAATGTTCATGTGGTCAAGAGGGAGACCATGCCAAAGCTGCATGCCAGGCTGAGAAACAAATTCAGCCTGGTTTGCTTAGTCTTTTAGATTTGGTATTTCTGTACTCATCCTTCCTCCTACTTTTCCTTAAGTAAGCTACATTGCAATGATCTTAATGCTAACATTTAACATTTGAAATGTTAAAGATGGAAAAGAGAGGGTTCGCCTTTAAAGAGCCCACCTTTAACATTTCAAATGTATAAGATCATTGCAATGTTTCTCACCAGCATCAGCCAACACCACGATGTAAAAAAGATGTTGAGACTCTAGAAAGAGTGCAGAGAAGAGCAACAAAGATGATTAGGGGACTGGAGGCTAAAACATATAAAGAACGGTTGCTGGGATTGGGTATGTCTAGTTTAATGAAGAGAAGGACAAGGGGGGACATGATAGCAGTGTTCCAATATCTCAGAGGCTGCCACAAAGGAGTCAAGCTATTCTCCAAAGCACCTGAAGGCAGGACAAGAAGCAAGGAATGGAAACTAATTAAAGAGAGAAGCAACCTAGAACTAAGGAGAAATTTCCTGACAGTTAGAACAATCAACCAGTGGAACAACCTGCCTCCACAAGCTGTGAATGCTCCAACACTGGAAGTTTTTAAGAAGAGACTGGACAAACAATTGTCTGAAATGGTATAGGGTTTCCTGCCTGAGCAGGGAGTTGGATTAGATGACTTCCAAGGTCATTTCCAACTTTATTATTATTGATCATCGCACAGTCAGCCAGATGTTCAGACTGGATTTGGCATTTTTGTCTACCTATCGAGTCCTTACCAAGGACCTGGGATAGGCAGTTGTGGATGTTTGGTATTACAGATGGATGGAAGCAGTTCCTAGTAAGGCTGCCTTTTGCAATTCACTAATGGCGAATTTGTCAGTGCCAATGGTGTTCAAGTGGTGCTCCAGTTGTTTTGGGATTGCACCCAAGGCGCCTATTACTATTGGTATTATTATTATTGTTATTATTATCTGTATACAGTGGTACCTTGATACTCATTGTTAATTGATTTCAGGAGGTGTGATGAGTATCAAAAATGATGAACACCAAACAATTTTTTCTCATAAGGAATAATGTAATGAATCACAAGATTTAAGAAGAAACTGGACAGCCATTTGTCCGAAATGGTATAGGGTTTCCTGCCTGAGCAGGGGGTTGGACTAGATGACCTCCAAGGTCCCTTCCAACTTTATCATTATTATTATTATTATTAAGATAGCTGATACCGACAAGTTCTAGCTTGTGGGTTGAGTACCGAATAAACAATGAGTACCGGGACCAAATTTTTGCAGTACCAAATTTGATGAGTTTCGAAGCAATTGAGTACCAAGGTACCACTGAATACCAAAGTCAGGTTATTATTATAAAGTTGACTAATGTATCCTTTTTTTTCTTTTTTTTTTTACAGTGCGTGCACCGTGATCTGGCAGCACGAAATGTCCTCTTGGCTCAAGGGAAAATTGTGAAGATCTGTGACTTTGGGCTAGCAAGAGATATCATGCACGATTCAAACTATGTCTCCAAAGGCAGTGTATGTATCGCTGTTGTTTTTGCCTGGGGGTGGGTGCAGTGGTGGGATTCAAATCATTCAACAGCCGGTCCTCTGCCCTAGCGACCGCTTTAAGTATAAAAGCACGATACACCGAAAGGTGGTTTATTATTTCGTGCATTTAATACTTAAATAAGAACAACAAAAGAGGTACACAAAACTTAGCTTGTGTTACAAGAAAGAGTTTTAAAATGTTGATGAAGAAAAATATTAAATAACACCTGACCAAAAAAACAATAAAACGGTTAGGATATTTCCGTATTGCTTCTTGATTGGCGTCCTCACTTGCAATTTTCTTTGCTTTTATCCGAGCGTTCTGTATAGCTCAGGGGTAGGCAACCTCGGCTCTTTTATGACTCATGGACTTCAACTCCCAGAATTCCAGCATAGCTGACTCAGGAATTCTGGGAGTTGAAGTCCATGAGTCATAAAAGAGCCGAGGTTGCCTACCCCTGGTATAGCTAGACAAGAAAAAGTCCCAGAGCCACAACCCCAGCTAATACTTGGCCTTGCCCCCTTTCCCGTATGCACCAATCAGGAAACTAGAGAGATGCACCAGTCAGGACACTAGAGAGATGGAGCGTCTATTCTGGAAATTACCTTTGAGAAGCACCACCTAGTTTTCGCCTGAGTGACGTGATCGAAGGCGCCATGTCGCCATTTTGTTTCCGTTGTTCCTCTCTTGGTCTTCTGGGGAGGTGGTTTTTTTTTCCCCACTTGGAAGGAAGTTGAATAAAACCCAGACAAGTTCTGGAAAACACAGATTTATCATAATCGGTTCGCCGAACTCGACAAAAAATTAGGTATCGGTTCTGCCGAACCGGTGCGAACCAGCTGAATCCCAGCCCTGGGTGGGTGAAAAGCAAGCTAGAGCCTTTAAAAAATGGCCAACTTTAGTGTCTTTGCTACCGACATAGCCACATACTTATGGCGACAAATCAACTTTAAAGACAGCCCTGATAGTGAATATTTCATTTACGGCACTCTTGCATGTTTTCTAATTCATGTTTGCCTTTTTCAGACCTTCCTTCCGGTGAAGTGGATGGCACCTGAAAGCATTTTTGACAACCTGTATACCACATTAAGTGATGTCTGGTCCTATGGCATTCTGTTATGGGAAATATTTTCTCTTGGTAGGCAAACTAATTGCTTTCGTGTGCGAAAGAATTGAACCTGATAAATAAACAGCCTTCTGCAATATATTATGGTTGAAACTTTAGTTTAGAGGCATGTTAACCAAAATGGTATCAGTATTACTTCTTTTTTTTTGCTATGAACCTTCGGTACTAACCGACAACAATAAAAATAACAACATAATATCAGCAAGTATACGTTGATGAAAAAGTTGCACCCTATAATTTTCCATTTCCAAATTTTATAACAAATTAGGTGAATTCGAATATAGAATTCTAATTTTGTAAATAATATCAATTTCAATGTTTTCCATACTACTGTTTTTGATATATGTTGGCAATCTGTAATAGTCTGTTGGTTATTATTAAATTAAAATAAATTGTGCATTCACATATTCTTTTAAATAATACATAAACACAGTTTCAGGATGTCAGTCAGACTTCAGTAGAATATCTTTTGCAAATGATTTGATGTACATATTTAATCAGAAAATATGAAGAGATTCTGTTGTAGGGGTTTTTTTTGGCAACTCAGACCACAATTTTGATCTTTATTATGATATATTAACCCAATATCCAAGAGGTCAAAGATTGATTTTTTATTCGGTTTTTTCTTTTCTTTAATTAAAGCTAAACAATTCATTTTCAAAACGCTTTCCCCGAAACATAATCCCGCCTGCAAGATTGCGCCTCCACCATCATTATTGCTCTCAGTCTCCCACCCTATCACCCCCTGCCTCAATGTTGAGGGCAGTGATGGCCACAAAAATGTGGTCCCCCCCATAAAATAAGTAGATGGATTCATATGTCATGCTAAATTAATAACTCCAATTTTGCTTCGTGCCATAGAATTAAGTGGGTTTATTGTTGGGTTGCAAGACATTAATAAATAACATACATTCCTATATATTTGGATATCTGTAAAACATCCTCCATTTTTTTTTGCAATTGTCTATCCTTACCCAGTGATTTATGTATATTATTATAGATTGCAAAATATTTAGAGTCTGCTGAATCTCAACCTAGACTGATTAGGTGGGGCAGTAGTTAGAATGCAGTACTGTAGGCTAACTCACTATTCACTCCAGGAGTTTGATTCTGAATGCTCAACGTTGACTCAGTCTTCCATCCTTCTGAGGTTGATAAAATGAGGACCCAGATTGTTGAGGGCAATAGGCTGATTCTGTAAACTGCTTAGAGAGGGGTTTAAAGCACTATGAAGCGGCATATAAGTCTAAGTGCTATTGCTTTTGCTCTCCCAACCACTGAAAGCACATATTTATGAAGGAAATGACGCTTGTTTAGAAGTTTTGCGGCTGTTGAAATTATGCTTGAAGGATGTGACCAGATCATTATTTTATCTTGATTTACCTGCTTTCTAAAAATGTGTGTGTGTGTGTAAATTCTTGAACTCTTATCTTTGACGTACGTTGAAACAGTCAAATTTTATACAGCCTTGTAAGATTAAAAAGATGGATTGTTTGGAGTTGNGACAGTCCTAGAGGAGATCAACCCCGACTGCTCTTTGGAAAGCCAGATCCTGAAGTGGAAACTCAAGTACTTTGGCCACCTAATGAGAAGGAAGGACTCCCTGGAGAAGAGCCTAATGCTGGGAAAGATGGAGGGCGATAGAAGAAAGGGACGACAGAGAATGAGGTGGCTGGATGGAGTCACTGAAGCAGTAGGCCTGAGCTTAAATGGACTCCAGAAGATGGTAGAGGACAGGAAGGCCTGGAGGAACGTTGTCCATGGGGTCGCGATGGGCTGGACACAACTTCGCAACTAACAACAATGCAGTTCCTGTTAACTAACTCATTTTTATTGGCATTTTCAGTCTAGAAATAGCACTTAAAGTTATATACCACTTCACAGTGCTTTACAGCACCCTCTAAGTGGATTACAGCAATCTGGGTCCTCATTTTAATGACCTTAGAAGGATGGAAGGCTGAGTCAGGATCGAACTGTTGGCAGTGAGCAGAGTCAGCTTGCAACACTGTATTCTAACCGCTGTGTCACCACGGCTCTTGTTTGGCATTATCACATGTAACGATGTTGCCCAGATTTCTTGAGCAGATGCAGAAGGGAGCTAGAATTCCCTTATTCGTGTAGAAGGAAATATTGGAAACCCCCTGCACTAAAGGATCTTTTGGTAATGGAGCTATTTGGCATATTGTTGGATTAGTGAGTGGCAGTCTTGGAAATCTGTGAATGGACTTAAAATAAAAGATCCAGAAGCTCAGATTTCTCCTCAACGTTATAGTCTTTCTGCGGCCACTGTATATAACTGGACAAGTGATTTAAGGGTTGTACGCTGCCCAGAGTCAATTTCTTGTGAGATGGGCGGCCATATACAGTAGTGGCCAAAATTGTGGTAACCTTTTGGGAAAAGTGTACAGTAGAAATGCCACCTTTGGTTAAGTTTCCACCCATTTTTCTTCTAATTTCTTTATAACTGTAGCCTTGTTCACTTAATAATACTATTTTACATCGCTTTCTGGGCAACCAGTCAACTCTTTGCACCATNTGACGCTTGTTTAGAAGTTTTGCGGCTGTTGAAATTATGCTTGAAGGATGTGACCAGATCATTATTTTATCTTGATTTACCTGCTTTCTAAAAATGTGTGTGTGTGTGTAAATTCTTGAACTCTTATCTTTGACGTACGTTGAAACAGTCAAATTTTATACAGCCTTGTAAGATTAAAAAGATGGATTGTTTGGAGTTGCTTCTTGAGTCAAAAAATGTGATGTCAACTTTCTGTTTCTGTTTTTCAGGTGGGACCCCATACCCTGGCATGATGGTTGACTCTACCTTCTATAATAAAATAAAAAGTGGCTATCGGATGACAAAACCAGATCATGCTACCTCTGAGATGTATGTATTCCCTTGCATCTTCTCTCTCTGCTTGCACATAATTGGATTAAACTTTTTCAGCTCGGTGTCCTTGCAGCATTTGGTCCAAATTGCTTCCAGGCTGAACTTTGAAATTTGCACTAGAGCTTTAGCTATGGATTGGCTTGCCTCCTGCAATATTGCTTCTCCTAAAATAAATCAGTGTTGCGCTTTAAGAAAAAGATGGTGTTTGATAAAACAATTAGGTAACTAATTGACAGATAGTCATGAATTCCCTGGGATTCTTAAAAGTATAAAAGGGTATGTAATGCAGTGGAGAATGAAAGTTGATAGCTGATTTAATGTTGGTTTTATTGAGGTGCACGTTTGTCATTAGCCGAGACGTCTACTATGAATGGCTTTCCCCTTATTTTTCATCAGCCTTATATCTTGTCAACAATGTACTTATGAGGTATTTTCTTCTACCTGGTTCCCAGGTATGACATCATGGTGAAATGCTGGAATAGTGAACCTGAAAAGAGACCATCTTTTTATCACTTAAGTGAAATAGTGGAGAGTCTGTTGCCTGGTGAATACAAGAAGGTTAGTTTTTTCAGAAAATGGGTGTTGCTTTTAGGATTTTAAAAATATGTTTCTTTATGGTCGTTGGGCTGAATTACGGGTTTTTAAATTATATTCTAGGGAACGATGGCAATGTGGAGATAAAAGGTTGGGATGCTTGGAACAAACCTGGTTGGGCAACATACATGCTTTTAGGCCCCTTTCCATAGAGGATTGTCTTATCTTGTGCCATTTCTAAAAAGACAGATGATCCATCACAGAGCAGATCCTGGAAAAGCTGTTGAAGTTAATAGGTTGTCTGGTTTCTTATTGTAATTATGGACTATAATTTTAGTTTTAATACTTCAGGCTTCCAAATCTGTTGGGCCATCTTTTATCTCTAACTTAAGTTCTTGACAAAGTTGTTGCCGCTACCCTGCAATTTGTGCAGGGCCATCACAGCCATTTGCGCTGCAAGGGCTTGAGTTACTACAACCACTGCTCTCATAAAAAAAATATGTTTCACTGATGGAATAATGTGTGATCCTTGAACGGCAAAAAGAAACCTTATTGTAGCATACATTAGATTTTACAGAGAAGAAAGGTTGATAAAGCTGTAAGACAGACATGTCAAACACAAGGCCCGGGGGCCGGATGCGGCCCGCAAAGTGGTTTCATGTGGCCCGCGAAGCCATCCTGGAAACAGTGAGGGAATGGCCCTCACTGCCTTGGCCCTGGCCCAGGCCGGCCGGGAGCTAATATACAATTTTGTGGTGGCCATCTATGCTGAAATGCATTCAGTCTTAGCTCCACAAGGCCGTCTGGAAACAGCGAGGAACCAGCCCCTGCCGCATCGGCCCCGCCCCCTGGGTGCATGCTGGGGAGGTGTCACCCTTTGTGAGGAATGAAGAAATGGACCATGCCTTGGCGTTTGCCCCGGTCCCACCCCCTTCTGCCAGAGACCCTCAGATCTGTCCCACTCCTGCCCAGGCCCCCACAGGCACCCTTGACGCAAACGATGTAGAGCTGGCCATGCCCACCCAGTAGGCCACACCCACTCCATCCATGCCCACCCAGTAGGCCGCACCCACCATGGCTACACCCACCTGGCCCCCCGAGGGCAACCCCAATGCTGATGCGGCCCTCAATGAAATTGAGTTTGACACCCCTGATGTAAGAGAATAAAGATGAATGTTCTAGGCTTCTAAGCAATGTTTTTCAATTTTTTTCCTAGAGTTATGATAGAATCCACTTGGACTTCTTAAAGAGTGATCATCCTGCCGTCACACGCATGAGAGTGGACTGTGACAATCCATATATTGGTGTCACTTACAAGAACGAGGACAAGATGAAAGACAGGGAGAGTGGATTTGATGAACAGAGACTCAGTGCAGACAGTGGCTATATAATCCCACTGCCTGATATTGACCCTGTATCAGAAGACGAACTGGGGAAAAGGAATAGACACAGGTAAGCACAGAAGGGACTTCATCGTGCCGTCCGTTTTGGTCACGTGAGGTAGCATATTCAGCTTACCTATGGCAGTATGTATAGTCAAAGCCATGGTTTTCCCAGTTGCAATGTATGGCTGTGAAAGCTGGACCATAAGAAAGGCTGAGTGCCAAAGAATTGAGGCCTTTGAACTATGGTGCTGGAGAAGACTCCTGCGAGTCCCCTGGACCACAGGGCGATCAAACCAGACAGTCCTAGAGGAGATCAACCCCGACTGCTCTTTGGAAAGCCAGATCCTGAAGTGGAAACTCAAGTACTTTGGCCACCTAATGAGAAGGAAGGACTCCCTGGAGAAGAGCCTAATGCTGGGAAAGATGGAGGGCGATAGAAGAAAGGGACGACAGAGAATGAGGTGGCTGGATGGAGTCACTGAAGCAGTAGGCCTG